TTTAATGTTACACTTTCTCTTTAAAAGTCCAGCAGGGAGATTTCATAGCTTTTCAGTCTTGTGCTTAGTTCAGACTTGTGAGTGTGAATTGCAGATTCATGAGAAATGTTTCAAATCTGGAATAAGAAACTTGTTATTACATTATTACCAAAGTCTTTCTTCTGCAAGGTGAAACATAGTGATTTCAGGTTTGAAAGCCTAGACAGTGGTTTTCAGTTAATGTGGCGGTACCTAATTATGAAACATTAAATACTAACACCTCTTGCTCTTTTGTGCTGTTATATGCAACTAGAAATATTGCAATTATTTTAACTTCATTTCCTTCGCAATGGCAGAAGCTATTTTCCAGTTTACATTAAAGCATCAGTTTCAATCGAATTGATTTAATATGCCTCTTGCTGTATTTGTTGCTAAGTTACAAAGCCACGATAGCTGAATAAACTCTCATTACAGTGCAGCTGAGTTTTAATTTAGCATGTAGAATAATGTAACTGTGGCTTTCTCATTCAACTTGAAAATTGCTCAACAGTATACTTTTCTAATCTAGACTAGATTTCCCCCCTTCAGCCCTGTTCTCCAACTAAAGCTTGAAAATGGATCCATCTTTTCCCCCGCCACCTTTTTTTTTCCTCAGATAACTTCATCTCATTCCAGCTTTTTATCCCATGAGATGTATTTCTTCCTAATGTTACTGGGTGTGGGAGGAAGCACAAGAATGGGAGATATAATATATATATATCAACAGACACAAGTAGTCCAGTTTTTACAGTTTAGTAACTTACCACTCATGAATGAAGATGTAAAAAGTGTGTTTTTGCACTCAGTGTATTGCAACTGCAAAGCAAAATGTTTGATGTGAAGGTTAAGCAAGTGTATTTCAGCATTTGTGAAATGACTGGAGTTAAATACAGTTTACTTCAGTATTACCAGAATCTCAGGGAACAGGGTCAGTTGTCAGCTGAGCTGGGGTAATTTATGCTACAGCAACTCCAACCCCTGAATGTATTGTTTGTTTTATTGTATCAATAGTGGATTTTGTTCTCCCCTCAACTCCCTGCAATAATTTTTTTAAGAAGTTAAACTCCAATGTAGGGATGTAATAATACTTCAAAAAAAAAAAAGTGCAAAGTCTTCACAGTAACTCTGAGTATCAGTGTTTAAATCTTCCCTTTTCCTTTAAACATACCTAATCATGCTCCTGCACTGCAGTGATGAATTGCTGGAGAGAGTATTGGAAACAGGCAATGTAATGCAAATATACCAGTAGGTCTGTGCAGAATTTACATACTGCACGTTAGCTCCATGGAGATGTTTTGATTTCTCTGTGCAGTGTTTCCGTACTCTGTCACCTTTGGACCTGGCCTGCGCATTATGCCCTACATCCCACAAGTGCTACTCGTGTGTGTGAGTCCCACTGCCAGGAGTGCAGTGGAGGGGGCCAGGTTGGCCCTGACGTCTGGTTTTCCAGGTCTGTGCTGTGTGAGGGTGGCTGTGCTGAGGCTGAGCTGTGCTGGGCCTGCTCCAGGGCTCATACACCCAACTTGGCCCGTGGTGGCTCCTTTCAGAGCGCTACCTCTATAGTCCAGGCAAATCACAGCCTAGACAGGCTGCATGTGATCGAGCTCTGGCTGAACACTCGCTTAGTAAGCATTTTTCATACTTGACCAAGGGTTTTTAGTCTCGCTTTGGATGTTGAGAAATGTTGGGAATCTTTGTTTCAAACAAAGAGAGTAGTTTTCTGCAATGCAGGTAAGCATCCTGTTTTTAGTTCAAATTGTTATTTTGTCATGTTTAAGCAACCACTAAGTACGTTTTGCCAAACAAGTCAAATTTTTACTTTACTTGCATCCAAACTGTGAAGTTTGGATGTTTTTTTTTCCATGTGTGTCTTAGTACGTAACATCGTTCTGATACGACAAACAAAAGCCTCAACGGTCCGAGACCTGATTTCTGTGACGTGCTCTGACTTTACTAAACTGGTCATCAGAGGCTTGGCTCTGGGGAGAGGTCATGGAGAATTGCCACTTGCTGCGTAAGCGGGTCCTACAGATTAATTCAGTGCACGGCTTTGCCGTTACTGCTGTAGCCAGACCCCACAGAGGAGGAGGATTTCTGTGAAAACTGTTAGAAAGGTTGTGGAAAAGGTTTCCCTAAAAGAGGCCAGGAGTCCAGTTTGCATTTAAACTACCAAGAAGAATATGCACGGTTTGAAAAAACAAAACGGTCAAAAACCATCAGAGACCTTTCCTTCCCTCTGTGGAACAACTCATAAATTTACTGTCATGACATAGTTGTGGATGTTCTGTTTCATCTTGAAAGTCAACTGTCCTGTCAGTTTGCTGTATTTAGGCAACACATATTTTCACACTACCATTTCCTTTTTACCTTCAAAGTGTTTTGTTGTTGTTGTGGGTGTTTTTTTTTTTAATTCAAGTATCACTGAACAGTTTAAAGCCCCTTTATATTAGTAATACAGATATGCTTTCCCTGGTAGGAAAAAAAAAAAAAATGCAGCTGTCAGGTTCCACAGTAAAGAAGTCATGGAGTTAAAAGCTTAGGGATCAGTCCAGTTCTGGCTCGCTTCCGTGCTAGGGAGTTGAGGGAAGGCTTGCTGGAAGGGGTTGAGAGTACAAGTTGAATCAAACCGGGTAGCAGTTGGCTGTCTGCTAAGCTAATGCCTCTCTCCCATATTAGCATGGTTATGATACAATTGCTTTTTCCAACACATCTTAAATATTTTACAAAGAAAAAGGTCATTCATTTAAAAAAAAAAGTTTTCTATGCATTATTTGTAAAGTTTTAAGCAGGACTTGGTTCTTCTAGGACTAGAGCTGCAGTTCTTCCATGTTTATTCCTCTTCACCTGTCTCACAGCTGTTCCCTACAACAGGAGTCTTAGCAGGTCCTCTTTAGGTTATAACAGCTGTTCCTTGGAGCAGCTATTTAATTACTAGAGTTCTAGAGACAAAGGTAAAATGTTTCTCTGTATGTTACTAGTTACTGAACTGTCTGTGGTGTGACCAGTTTCTTTATTAACTCTTACTTACCTGTTTTCTCTGTCTAATCTGTCTTCATTCTGCCTCTTTTTTTCCTTCTAACCTGCTTGCTGCCTGTACAGACCAACTCTACCAGCAACTTGAGCAAAACAGTCGCCTAACTAATGAACTAAAGCTGGCATTGAATGAGGATTAAACTTTAGTGTGACTATATTGTTAACTTGTTAAAAACTGCTTCTTCTAAAAGTTCCTCAAGAATGAATTAGTAAACATAGGAAAAAAAGCAAGAAACCTAGAAATTGATTTTTCAGGATGTTGATTCTGTGACAAATTAATGGATGAAATTTTCAGTTTATGTTGGAAAAATGAAAGTAGAAGTGCTCCTCATGATGAGGCTTTTGATTATCTGTATGCACGACTACTTTGGAGGAGCTGTAAGCTCCTACTTTGGCTGTGCAGTAGCTCCTTTCCACTTCAGTACCAGTTACAGCCTTCCTTGTAGAGAGACTACCTGTTCAGCTGATGTCATAAATTGGGCCTCAGATTTTTACTAGGAAGTGGATGAAAACCAGGATTCAAATTTCAAAACCAATATAAAGTATATTTGCGAGTGTTCTGTATCTGGAGATTATAATGCATTAATTTTGCATTACTACAAATTGGGATTGTATTTGACTTTAAAAAAAAAAAAAAAGAAAAAGAAAAAAGAAATGGGAGCTCCATCAGAAAATACCTGGTCAGTTTAAAGGTATGCTTGCATTAGTATGAAGTTATATTATGGGATTCTCGTAGGATGCAGCTCTAGAACATTGTGTTCATTTATTGTATCATGTAAGTGTGTTAAATGACAGTCCTATAAAAGTGTGCATGCAACATAAAGCTACTAACTTCCTTTTTTTGTATTTTATAGCAGAAATAAGTTAATCTTCTCAAAAGTCACTTGATGGGGGTGGCGTTAGTCTTTTTCATTTGTTCTCTGCAAGTTCTGAATTACATGAAGCTTCAAGTGCAAAACTGCAAAAAACTTAAATTCTCTTCTTTCTTATTGCCCTACTTTTAAAAAATAAATAAGAATTCATTCACCATCCCCCATTCCCATAGCAAAGAACTCCCAGAACGTACAAGAATATCACCTCTGCTGGCAGTGCATTTTCTTTAAAAATGCAGTTTTAAACAGTTCTAAGCTTGCATTACTTGCAGTTGGTTTTATTAATTTGGAATTCTTCCTGGTTGTGCTGAGGATATTAGCATTTATGAGCATGCACATTTCTTACCTTCTAAACCCTCCTTTAGAAATGATGATTGCATGCCTTCATGTTCTGAGAATCAGTGCCTCCAAAGAACTGCTATTCATGTTTTAATTTTCTAATCCCACAACAGAGAAAGTGGCGCATGCCAAAGAAGAAAACCTTAGTATGCATCAGATGCTGGATCAAACTTTACTGGAGTTAAACAACATGTGAAAACCTTCTTAGCAGCAACCACATTATTTGTTTTTGTTATTTTTACACCTGCTTGCCGTGAAACCCCATAAATATGTCTTTATTTTAGTTTCACCACAGTCACAAGAACATCTGCTAAATTATCAGGCAGGGGTCAGGGAAACACCAAAATGGGCAAGCCATATGCGGGTTAAACTATTATATTATGGTTTAAATGTGCCATTTCCCAACAAAATGTTACCTACACTTTGTAGAGAGTTCAGCAATTCAGTATGCTTAGTCTTTTGAGGAATCCTGGCTGTGGCAGAAAGTGTCCCACCTCAAGTGCCAACTACAATTTTTAACAAGAAGATTGATTCACATTCAAGAACGGTAAGGTGGAAATGGTGCTATTCTAAACAAAAGGTTCTACCGAAGTCTTTTGTTTGATATCAGATAAATCAGGAGTTTGACCAGCACAGTAATTTATTTTATTGGCGTTTTATTGATCTGTGAGGATTTGGACTTTCTGTGCCTTCTAATTCAATAAAACGAAGGATATATAAGCAACAGAGAAAACCGAAGACTTCTGGAGGTTTTAAATTGCGTACTTGCAACTCATTACAGAAGTGTAGGTCAGCATTTCACCTTGAGTATTCGTTCAATTGTATTTTTCATGTTGAAATGAAAGATTCAATAAATTCAGGAGAAAACATAAATTTGGTAGAGATTGTTTTAAAATGTATTTTATTTGTGTGGAGTTTGGGGGAGGGGGAGGAATTTATAAATTGATAATCGCCTCACTTTATTTTTCACACTTTCCTTTGAGCAGTTTTAAAAGTATACCTGTATGTAAACATTGTATAATGATATGGAATAAAATGCACATTTTAGGACATTTTTTAAATTTCGCTCTCTTGTGATTTGTTTCTCATCACATTCATTTTCTGTCTGTATTGCTATGTTAAATAAGCATGTGTACAGCGTGTCTTACTGGGATACAGCATCAACACACTGGCTTCCAGTCTTCTCTGTTCTTAGGACAGTTGGTTAAAATGCCCCAGAACGTAGGGATTTGGACTGATGTGGATCCTCAGCAGCTCATGAGGGCCGTGTAAGGGCCGTGTGCCAGGATTTCATCCTCAGTACTTGATTGTAGCCCCATGTCATTATGGGCCCAGAAAGCAGCCATCCCCAGAGGGACGCCTGAGCTTAAAAAATTAGTCATTGTTGACCAGATCTGTTTTCAGTGGAGTCGGTGGCAGAACTCCCGTGGACTTCTGTGGGAAACGAACCTAAAAAGTTGCACTGGTGAAAATGCTGCTGTGTATTTGCATATCTTACCTGCAAGTATGTGTTATTTTGACGTGGTGATAGACTTCACAAAATGGTGATGTGCCAAGGTCATGAGAGAACCTTTCACCCAACTTTTCACTATGGGCTGCTGCTTTTTATGTGTGTATGTATCTTTATTTGAATTATAAGGTCTGTCACTAGACAACTTAAAAAATAGTGTCCTTATACCTTCCTTTTTCTATAGTATATTGCTGAAAGCTGATGCTGTCCATCCTTCTAGCAGGAAGGAGCCTGGTAGGAGATAGGTTATAGATAGCCCTCCAGATTGTCCAAGCATCTCTGCTATTGGACCCTTAGCAATTGACTGAAAAACAGCCATTTCCTCAGCAGTCTGTGTAGTGGTGAGGGGCTGGAGAAATACCCGTTGGTTTCAGGTTAAATGGGAGTCTGAGAGGGGAGATGCACGGGTGTGAGTCTCCACGTCCCTAGTTTTTTCTGATTGTGGCGTAAAGGGGAGCACTTACCAACACTGCCGGCCTTTGCGTGATTCATTGGCTGCTGCCAAGTTCGGAAGGTAAAGGATGGGGTCCCTGGCTTCGCATACCCATGCAAGTGGCTTTGGGAAGCAGGAGGGACATTAAAAGGCTCCTGCAATGCCTTAAGCTTGTACTGGAGGCTGACGGTCCATTAGAAAAGCTTTGAATGCCAGGTGTGCAGAGGTAAGTTATTCTGATCTTTCTCTTCCTTCAACGAGGATGGAACGTCAGATAATTGGGCTCTGAGAGTTCATGCCTGCGCTCTGAAGGGCGGTGCTGGAGTCAGCAGGGCTGCTTGCGGGAGAAGGTGCTGTGCCAGGCATAGTCCCTGTAGGGTTGGCCCGAGGCCACCTGGAGCGTTGGAGGCAGCACTGGGCTGCCAGAGTTCCCAGCTCTGGGCCGCAGAGCACACGCAGCCACGTGCGCTGCCTGCTCCGGTGGATTGCTTTCCTTATCCCATGGTCTGTGCGTGGGTCCTAAATGATGTGCCTGAGTGAGGTCAGACCTTTGCTGCTTAAAATTGCTTCCTTTCTAGGAGGCCACAAACTGCTTTGTGTTCGGGGAAAGTGAATTCACCTCTTACTTCATGTAATGGTTGGGGGGAAGCTGTGGTTTTAATATCCCTTACTGAGATCGCTTCCCCGTTAAAAGGGCACGCACACGTAAGCAAGGAGATAGGAATTAATAGGAAAATGTCTCTGTTTCTAGAATAATTTTCTCCAAAGGGGGCTGTTGCAACTGATGCTATAAAGCTTGACAATAGGAAAATGAAACCTTTCCAGTTCCAAGGAGAACGTGATGGTGAATTGCCCCACGCGGCCTTTTTGGTTGTCTATCAACTGATGTGTAAATAGGTGTATGTATGTATTTGTTGACGCAGGAAAATCTTTCTACCATACGTCAGAAGCCACTAGCTGTTGCAGATTCTTTCCTGAGGTGCCTGATCAGATGAAATTCAGTGAAGCTAGAAAGCATTTTGCTTGTACAAAATAAATAAAACGGGCTTTGATTTAACCCCATTCCAAACAAACAGGATTTTCTCCCTCTGCAGCTATTTCGTCAGAAATGGTAACTCCGAAAATTCATTACATTCCAGAACCCAGCATCATTTAGCATTCCCCCAAATGTCTGTCCTGGTGTGGAGTTTAACTCGCCTTTGTCTTGAATGCAAAAGTACATTTGGCAGACAGAGATCTAACAGTATTGCGCAGCTGTGCAACTCTCCCAGTGGCTGGAGAACCGTCCTCTCTGTGAAATGAGCAGTACTGAGAGCGCCGGACTTGGCAAAACCTGCCTTATCGCAGACGCATGTCTTGTGGATGAATGTAAACTCACAGTGAATTGTTTTTTTCCAGATTCTGAGGCATTTGTGTTGCCTTTTGCTCTGTCATGGGATTTCTTTGATGCGTAATATTACGCAAGGTGTGCTGCAGGGTGTGATGCGTCTTTCCCTCCATCAGGACACTTCCTTACGTTCACAAAACTTGCAATCATGTGATTTTCCTTCAGGGTTCTTTCCCTCTGTGGCCAAAACTAGTCAATCAATTCAAGAGTTATTGAATGGGATGAGGACAAAGACCAGAGCGACACACATGCCCCTTTTCCTTAAGAAATGAGGTTAAAGCAGCAGCTTGTATCTACGGGGCGTTGCTTCTCAGAGCTCTAGCATCTGAATCCATAAAAGGTATTGTGCATATTAACCAATTTCTGCTGTCATTGATACTAATGAAAACCTGGATTAAGTTCACAGGCTTCACTGGATCGTCATTATTGTAGGAGTATCTGTTACATTGGGCTTTCTGAGTGTCTGAGTGGTGCAATGTCTGTAACTGGCAGCAAAAGAAAATTAGCTCACTAAAAAGGAAAAATCAAGGAAAAAAACCCTTTTTTTTTTTTTTACATCAGTCAGTCCGTGGTGAAATATTCTCAGTGTTTTTTTGTTTTCTGTGTTTTAATAATAAAACAGGAGCATCAGTGAAAGATATGTGGGAATTACAGCAAAAAGGCTGAAGTTGTAGAGAAAATAGGAATTTTCATCTTTGTCTTTCTTTTTTTAACGCACACAGGAATAGTTATTTTTATTGAAGGAAAGCTGTGTCATTTTCCTTCGTCAGTGTGCACTGTATTCTTTCCAAGAGCAAGGTATGGTAAATCTGTTTAAGTTTGCATCCTGGGTCCAGTTCCAAGCCTGTCAAGTTTTCTGTAAGTCACAGCCTTGCTGATTTATAAGGTGTTCCTGAGTGTTGCATAAATGCAGGATGCTCCTCATAATGAAAGGAGCCAGTGAGCAATCTAGATGTCTCAGCTGATTTATATGAGAGCAGAAAAAATAGGAGACAGAAGCAGGTAAAAGTCTACAGACTTTCAGCCAAAGCCCATGGCAAACAGTGTTTCTTTGGTTAAAACCTTCAAAGGACACCTAAAACAGAAGGCCTAGTGGTAATTGTGCCACTGAGGGAGACGATGCAGTTCTGGTGTTGCTACAGCAGAACTTTTGGAAGGATGATCAGGAAGGAGGAACTTCAAAGCTTTGGTAAGTTGATTTAACCTGCTTAGGGCAGATTTGTATTGATATTAACACGGAGATGTCTGTATTGCATTTGTGTTACCAGTTTAAAAATAGAGTATTTCTTTGCAGGTCCACGAGTAGTTTGCGTGTCTCTCTTGACAGGAAGGCCAGTTGGAGAAATAGCCTGGGAAAATGTTAGAATTTCTCCTGGATTACTCCGTTCTGTAGCCAGCCAGGAGGAGACTTCTTCCCACTAAACCTGGATTGCTGTCCTATTTTGTTATCTGTTTATTGTACAAAGGAAAGTAGTGTGCATACATAGAGTGTAAAATAGACTGGCAAGAAGGATGATGTCATTTCTGTAGGCTATTCAGAAAAAAAAATTGTATCCAGAAAATGAACTAGGTGATAAAGCAGCTAAAAGGGAAACAGTAAGAGAGAATTGCACACAGGGAGCAAAGGCCAGTCAGGAAGGTAGACAGCGTGACGGTGATCGTTGGAAGAGTGACTCCTCCCCCTGGAAATGCCACTGTGTAATTATGCCTTGTGCTAATTACATTTCTTGCCTCCTCTCGTGTTCCTCTGCCACAGAGGAAAGAGGCTGGAAAAGTCCAGGGAGCAGCACATTCTTTACCTCATGCCTCATCTGGGTTCAAAGGGCGGCGTACAGGAGCTCTTCACATATACATCAATAAAATTCCCGTCTCACAGTGGTTCTGGCTGCAGTGGCAGAATCTGGGCTATGTTTCTCCAGGCTGGGACTTTATGATCAATTGCCTTGACCAGGAAGGTCATGACACCTTACAAAGAAAAAAGCAAACCCACCATTTATTGCTGTTTCTCAGCAGTTAGCTAACAAATATCAAACGTACATGTGCTTTTATTATACACGTACACACACATGCATGCATACATGTACATGGTACAGGGCATTTCCTGGGGATAAATGACTAGAGGTTTGTGGGTACAGGATGCAGCCTAAGGGACCCAAACTGGTTGTTAATCCATAGGAAATGCTCTCTGCTAAGACTCTAACGTTACAAGTTGACATTAAAAAGCACACAGGGCTGCATGTCTCTGTCTCTTGAGGAGAAGCAGTGTCCACGGCCACCTTGAGCGATTAAGTGCCTGAATCCTCCCTCTGCTTCCCCAGCGGTGCACGTGCTGTGGGCAGCTAACAACAGAACTGGGTTCGTTTTGAATCTGCTTTCTGTCAATTGCTGTTAACAATTTGGACTGAATTAGGGAAAATCAATAAGATCCAACTTAAACTGGTTTGAGATTGTTTGCATAGGGTTTTGTGCCTTTTTAGCTAAGTTTCAAGAAGTTCATTTTTATCAAACTACACAACTGCAGGTACGACTTTGGCCGTATACATATATAGTGTCTATACAGCTAAGGCCTGCCTGTTGGACTAAGCTTTAGTCAAACAAACAGCCCCATTAGAGCAAAGGTCTCAGTGTGGCAGAATTGAGCTTTATAGAATCATTGCACAAGGAGAAATTGTCTTTCTTGTGTGAAAGCTGCTGGGCCTTTAACTGTCGTGACATTGGATATATAGGTTTAAAAAATAAACAGCTGTCCCTCGTTAGGACTGCAATGATACATTTCAGTTTCTAAAGGAGGAGACTGATGTTCAAAGATGCTGAGCATGCAGTAGCTTTTGTTGATCTCGATAGGACACCTGGATGTTGCATTCAAGTTTGGAGATTTCAGAATCCCCATTTAAAATACAATAAAAACAGGAAGCCTTGAAATCTATATTCCCAGTTCCTCTTCCCCTGGTATCTATTTTGCCTTTGAAGTAATAGTGAAGAAATTACTCTCTCTACTGCAGTGTGAATAGGAAAACTGAAGTGTGGCGTTTTGTTCCACAGTTATGGATGTATTTCTCAAAAAACCTGGGGATTTCCCTTGGTTTCTATTTTGTTTTCCTGTTTGAGAATTTACAAGAACACCAGCTGTCCATGTAGGAAATGCTTTTTACTCACACCTGTTGTCTCAGTCTGACAAGCACCAAGTCGAGTAGGAACTTGTTAGCGTGCATTACACCCCCTATCACCAGCGAAGTAGAGCACAGCTTCCCCTCCAGCATCAGTACCACCTTGAGCTTGGTTCTCTTTGGATGCATGCATCAAAACCTTGCTAACCTTCCCACTGCAAGATGGTCGTTACTGGAGATGATGGGGTGAAAAGAATCCAAGTTGTGTCAGACATTAAGATGAGTATGCAGGTGGTAAAACTGGTCTATTGAGTAATGTTCAATCCCGCTGTAAAATATAACTGTAAGTATGAGTGTGTATGTGTGCATATCAGTGTGTGCATAAATGTGAGAAAGTGTATATACCATGTAAAACAAGGAAATTATTTTGTCTGTGCTGACAGCATATGTTGGTTTGGTTCAAGGTCAAAGAAATAAACTATATTCATTATTTCCAACTCTGCCGCTTGATGGGTTATTCCAGATGGCAGGAGGGATAAACAAGTATCCCCCACTTAGTGCTTACCGCAGAAGTCACTCATCCTAGGCAGCCATCTTCCCTCATTAATGAAGGCTATCAAACTTTTCTTGGCCCTTTCCCACACCTCTGCGTGTAAAGGTACAAAGGAAATACCCGCTTTAGTTTTTGCAAAGAGCTTGCTGCAGCACAGATCTGTGTAAATTCCATTAACTTCATCTACTGCAATTTTACATGTATGGAAAGGCAGCTGGGTAAAATTCCTTCTTACTGATCTGCATAGCGCATAGTAATTGTGCACTTACGCATGTACAGTGAGCCTCTTTTGAAACATGCCTCAACTTGGGAGTGATAATATGAAGCAAAGGAGTCTGGAATATGCAGAGACTAGCTCCCATAAGAATACACAAGCCCAGTGCCAAATGTCTCCACCCAAATATCTGAGATGTTGCTAATTTGATAAGAGCCCTTTTCCTGTTTTGGACTAGTGCGTGCAGTTTCTCAAGTTATCTGTGCTCGGTTCTCACAGAAAGCATTCCTAGTGGCACGGGTCATGTCTGCAGAGCAAAATGAAGGTGTAACTGCAGCACAGGTAGATGAAACTGCACTAGAAAAGATAGTCATAGCAGTGTGCACGTGGAAAATAGGCTAGCCACCAGCTTGCACCTATAGCTGGATGAGTATTTGGTGTAAAGAGAAGCAGAGAAACATTTGCTCGTAGCAACAGGTATCAGTAAAAAGACATGCTGGAGCGTCAAATATTGTTGGAGGGTTTGGAAAAATCGCTTACCTCTTCCCTCAGTCTAAAATAGGTAGGAAAGTAAACACAAATCAGGATTATATTCCTCACACAGGAATGGGAGTCTTCAGACTCCCATACAGAATCTGGAAACACTTTTTTCCTTTTGCTGTTGTGTCTGTCCAAGCAAATGTGCCTGTTGCTTTTTTCCTCACTTGTAGACGCATGATGTGGAGGTGGCACCAGAACCTCGCACTTTAGAACAACTGAAAGCAGTCACCTGGTCAGCTGCTCTGACAGTAAGAGTTCTAACTGCCATATTTCCTGTGCCATAGTTGTCTGGGGCTTGTTCATTGTGGTGAGCTTTGTGTTCTGGGGAAAGAGGTGGAGAGAAGTATTTAATCACCCAATTGTAAGGCGTTCCTCCTAGAGCAAGCTAGAAAGCTTTACAGAAGCAGTAAGCGCGTGTCCTCTGCAATTGTATCTTTGGGCATTTGATACTCTCTGATTAACATGCTTAATTCTTTACGTATTTTACACCTACCTTGTTTCATTTATTTTTAAAGCAATGTGCTTCAGGTCATAAGATATAACTACAAAAGACACTGTTTTCTGTGGTATATTGCACCTCTTCCCACTGAACGGGGAGAAAAGCTGGAGAGCGTAAAAAGGTCAGACGCGTCAACTGAATCTATTGATAAATACAAAGCCATTCTCTGGGACCAAACAGTTTAGTCCTCTCTGTGCTCAGTTTTCTATCAGAAGAGGTTGTTACCCGAAGACTAAGTTCAGGAAAAACAGGAAATAATTCTTTTTTTTTTTTTTTTTAACGCTGATGTATTTCCCAAATGCTCCTTCCTTACTTGTTTTAGCTGTTGACCATTATTTTTTCCTCTGAGTCCCAAGAGGTTTCAAGTAGGCCCTAAACCGAATTAAAAGTATGAGAAATTAGAGTTTAAAAATTAATGTTTCTGCAAAGAAGAAAAAGAAATGTGCGTGCCCTTTGTCTGCTCTGTAACCAGAGCACGATCTTTTCAGCGTTCCTTCCCCTGACATACAAAACATTTCCCAAACTCCCATTCTGTTGTTTCTAGGAACTATACTGGGCTGGATGCAACTCATAAAGCAAAGGAAGTACCAATGTGGGACAATAAAACTCTCTCATTTTCTATTAGTCCTGTCCCTTTTATGGTGTGTGTAAAGAAAGGATGGCTGACCTGGGGTGCTGCACAAGTCAGGACGAGCTGTTGCCAGACGGCAGGACTAGCCCTGCTGGGCTGCTAGGTGGGCTTGAGGACCACCACTGCCGTGTCTGTTAACTTCTGACTGGGACACAGATATGGCCAAACTCCTCCAGAAATTAAGATTTATAAAAATCAGATATCTGCCATCTGAATCATGGTTCAAGCAGAGCTGATGATAAGCACGTTGGTCTGAGTGTCTAAAGACGGAGTTGCCTAACAGTTTAATGCTACTTAGTCTCCTCATCTAGACATCTTAAATGTTTCAAGTTTTGTTCCTGAATAATATTTCTGGGCTCAGTTGTTGAGCAGATAATTCATTTGCTCATGATTTTAGTTCAAAAAAACCTCAGGGAAGACTTTTATCTTAAAGTAAGTACACACCTATTTACCTACCTTTTCAGGAAGGGATGTTTGGTTTTTAGCTGGGGTCTAACTGTCCTAGCATAGAACTTTATTGGTGCCCATTGGTGAGGCTAGCACTGTTACTGTAATGGCACTGTAATCATGCAGGTGTTACCTTGATAAGGAAGTAATAATCCCCTGAGAACTGCTGTACTGATCAAGAGCAAACAAATAATGTAAATGGGTGAGGAATCTGAGGTAACAACTCAATTCAGTAAGACTGAGATACCCAAGAGAGATTGCACTGCAGTAAAACCATCCCTTTTGCTAACAACTGGTTAAACCAATGAAGCTTCTTACTGCCATCTACCGTATGACGGTTTCAAGCCAAACAGGAATAAAAGGTCTGTCTCTTGGTTTTCCAAAAAATGAAAATGCTTCTGAAAAGAGAGAAATTAGAGCTTGATTTCTGTTTCGATCTAATGTTCCCCTTATTTGTCTTCTTTTCAAAATCAGAAATAATTCTTTAAAGCAATCTTTCACATACTGAGAGCAGAAACATCAGATGTGATCAAGTGAATCATTATCGCTTTATTCTTTGCATCTTCCATCAACATCAGTTTCCCCTATATCTATGTATACAGATATACCTAGATATTAACATTGAAATTATTAAAACTGTGGCTTTACTGTTTTTATTCCTCATTTTATGTGGCACAAATATAAATTATGTTCTTTTTTTGACAGTTTTATCTTCTGCCTGTTAATTGTTTCCCGTTAGACTCAATTTTTTTAGATATAGAAGTTAGTTGTTTCTTTTTAAGTCTTTACAAAAGTTGCAATCCCAGAGATTAATGGAACAGTTAACTGGTTCAAAATAAATCCAAGCAAAGGAGTATTTTAAGCTTTCTTCCTCAAGCTATTGCTTCCTAAATGTTTGAAAGCCCCTTTACACAAACTGGCCCTCAAGCTGAAAGCTTCACTTTGGGTCTGTGGCAGATATAAATGCTATTTAGTAGGATGAAAAGGCAGAACTGGGCTAATGAGCTAATAATTTCAGAATTAATAAGCCCTTTATCAGAGGAATACTAGTAGGCACCACTTGTTCCTGTCATTTGAACCTTAGATGGTGGGTGTTAATAACAGTTCCCATCGTCTCAATTTCAGTGAAAACGTTAAATTTAGGAGCATGTTAGCGTAGAATTTTGCCACATCAGTGAGCTAGAAAAGCAAATGAAATCATTGCAGAGAAAATACCAAGATGAAAGGCCTGACCTAGAAACAAGAGCAGCCATAGTAACAGCTGAAACATAGTAACATTGCTGAAACACCAAGATCCGCCAAAGCTCCTGCACCACTGGAGGAGGATTGACAGAAATCATAAAGTTGTGGTTTCTTTTTTTAAGAATCATACTTTAGGAAATATTGATGAATCTTCATGACTGCAAATACCCAACGCTTCCAGACTCTGCTGACCACCAGCAGCAGAATTAGCATTTCACACCTAATGAGAGTGGGGTACAGCAGTGCAGAACGACGTAAAAGCTACTGCCCAGCTTGCTCTTTCTTCCCCCAGCTCACACGCTAACAGGATTATGAAAAGGCCAGGGAACACAGTTGTGTACAAATACAAGAGCAAGTTAACTAGGAAGATGCATGCACGCTTTGTTTCAAAGTCTCATCTTATTGAGCCTTTGGAGTTTGTCTTACTCAAAGGCCATGAAGCCTAAAAAGATTCTCAAGAGTGAGGACTCAAAGGTGGCCTGCGGGGAAGCGGTAACACTGTGCAGCGCGTGAGCACAGCCCTGCTCGCCTGAGAGACCTGCTGTGTAAAACTGCAAAGCTGTGTCAGGGGAGAGTGCCACTCTGTGTCCTTATCCTCTGCATTTGGCATATTCACCTAGGCTTTTCAAATCTGGCAAGTACCACTTGGCAGGGAGGCAGAGCAGAAGAAGATGCAGCTGTTTTAGTGCTAAACCACGTGGAGCTTTTCCACTATGCCAGAGGGATCTCCAGATGGCCTTTCCTGGCTGTGTTACATAAGGAAGCTGGATTACAGCTGGGAATCTGTTCCTATATGCTGGGAGTCTGTTCCTCAGTGACTGATGCACAAGGATAGAAGAAAAACGTTTTAAAGTCAATTTAGAATTGAATTAGCCTAGTGCTTGCTGTCCTTATTTTCTATTGCTGTCAGTGGAAGAAGAGATTTCTCAGCACCTCACAGGGCCTGGCACCCCAACTCAAAGTTCAACAAAAACAGCAGCTTTAAGGAAGATGCGTCATAAAAGCACAGGTCACATTGTGCTACTGGATTTAATGCAAAGCTCTTCATTAAAGACAATGAGAGAAAAATTGCAAGATTTATTTCTGGCTTAGGCACATTCAAAAGTGTGATGCCAAAGAGGGTTTAAGAATGCTGCAAAACACTCCCTGGGACAGTTTAACACAGTGAAAATGAGCTACTAGAAAGTAAATACTGCATCTTGTACCATTTGGGTATTAATTTGTACTGTTATAAACAACTGAGTTTTATTGAGAAAAGAGTAATGAGAAATAAATGCCTGCAGTAAAATGTGTATCAGCTGGTTTGCATTTGACTTCACACATGAAAGCTATTTGGCCTGGCCTCCTGCCAAATCCTGCAGTTTTGGAGATCATCGGACAGGAAGAAGGACATTGAATTCCCTAGGTTAGCATCTCAACATTTTCTCCCAGCATATCCTATGCGCAGTTCTAGAAGGACAGACTCCCTCCTTTTGCTTACAATTTTGGCTCCATTTTTTTGCATTTTTAAGCTGTGGTATTCCTGTCAATATTTATAACATTTGCAGAGTGGCCATTATTACGGGTTGTTAGCTGTTGTTCAAGAATCCTTCAACATATATACATCTCATTTTAAGTCACTGTCCAAATACCTCAGAAAATCTCCGAGGAAGAAATAGCAAACCCCTGTACTGGACTGTACAGTCCATCAGACTGGACATTGTGGGCTTTCTGCATTGCTATGGTACGATACATCCCAGTCACTCTGTTTGTGATTTGCAGGGTCTAGGGTCCCTGGAAGAGTTCACTCGTTAAGGCATCCCCTCATTGAGACGACTGACTTTAAACAGCTAAAAAGAAAGGCATTACGGTCATTTCTAACCTGTTTGTACACCATTGCATTTTCCATTCCCCTCTTAGACTTTAACTCCTGGACAAGTTAGTCTGAAACTCAAAAGAACGTTATCAGTGATACAAAAGACTGAAATGAAAGGTTAGCGAGGGTGTTTTTTTTAGCATTCTTTGAACCTAACATCATCTGCTCTATCGTCATTGTAATTAGTAATTTCCCAGCAATGAACAGCATTAGATATAGGAAGCGAAAAAGAAGAGGCATTAACATGAAAATGTTACAGGATGAGCAGACATCTTCATACTAATGAAGATGTTTTGATGAGCCACTTAGAGGTGTGGACCAACAACTCCACTGACACCTTCGAGTTGCCCTGGATTTGCCTTTGCATTGTGGACACACTAGCTCTTTAATTCGCAGAATCACAGAATGGTTGAGGTTGGAAAGGACCTCTGGAGACCATCTAGTCCAAGCCCCCTACACAAGCAGGGTCACCTAGAGCACATTGCCCAGGATTGTGTCCAGAAGGCTTTTGAGGATCTCCAAGGAAGGAGACTCCACGACCTCTCTGGGCAACCTGTTCCAGTGCTCAGTCACCCTCGCAGTGAAGAAGTTTTCCCCCATGTTCAGACAGAGCTTCCTGTGTTTCAGTTTGTGCCCGTTGCCTCTTGTCCTATCGCTGGGCACCACGCAGAAAAGTCTGGCCCCATCTTCTTAACACCCTCCCTTCAGATATTTATACACATTGATAATTGTCAATTGTTATTGCTAGGATAATTGTCAACAAAAAGGCTACTGTGAGGATCCTAAATCTGCAGATTCATCCCTCTGGCAAGCTCACAAGAGTCCTGATTATTGGACCCATTCTTGGCTCCTCACCTGACATTTGGACTTAGATCTAGCTGACACTGCTTACCAGCGTGTCGATCTGCATCTGCTGATGCACCGAAAATTCTCTTTTCCTTCTGTCTTCTTGAGCAATAATATTATGATTTGGTCACTTTTTAGTCTCTTTAAAGTTAATTCGCTGTTCAGTCAACATTCAAACTATTAAAGAAAGCTATTAAATTTGATTGGAAGCCAAGTATGCAGAAAGTTGAGAGGAAATTCATGTGTGAAAGACTTAAAAAGCATCAGCTGGAGGGCATTCTCATTTCCCATGCCGCAATATATCAGAAAGCAACTGCAACTACTTGCAAAAGCTGTTTCCAAGAGGAAATGTGGGCTGTGCCATTAGTATTATTCTAGGCTGAAACTGAACTCTAAAACTGGCATTGGGAAATTCAACATTTATAATGTATTCCTCATTAATCTAGATTAAATATGCTCCTATGACAGCTTAAAAGTTTTATCTTAGTGCCAACCTAGCTTACCCAACATTACTTCTACCTGGCATACGTTCAGCAATGATTTTTTTTTCATCTGAATTTAGGGACTGATTCTGCTATCATTTTCCACGGAGTGCAGAGTTAAGAATCAGAAATTATGTCATAGTTTGAATTGTCCTTGATCAATTCTCTGTCTTGTTATTACACAACAGGCCAGGTAAAGTGCTGGTAAAAAAACAGCTTCTTGTCTCCGAGCTGCATTGGTGTTGACT